TCTTCCTCTGACGCTCCTCATCCAATTCTTGCTCCCGAGTAAGCCTCTTTGTTCCCCGATTGCCATCCATTGTATCTCCTTCCCCTCCCTCACTCATTGACCCTTCATCACCAGAGAACCCTTCGAATGAGTCTTCATTGGTGGGTGCCATAAGTATATCCCGGATCCTTTTCCTTTGCTGTTCCCCATCTGACTCCTGCTCATGAACACCCCCTTTCCCCCTTCTAGCACCCATACTACCACTTGCAACGTTACTTACAGACTCTACTACAACATATCTATCTATATCTATGGCTGGATGGCTCTTTGTCAGGAGGGCTTTGATTACGTTTTCTTGCCCTGGTGAAGTGAGTTGGACTGGATGGCCTTAAGTATTTTCTGTTGGTCATGGGGGTTTATTGTGGGAGGTTTGCCCCAATTCTGTTGCTGGTGGGGTTCAGAATGCTCTTTGTAGGTGAACTATAAATCCCAGCAACTCTCAAATGACAAAATAAAATTTTTGGACTGATGGTCACTCCTTGGGTTAGTAAGTGTCTTGTGGCCAAATTTGGCGGCAAATCGTCCAGTGGTTTTTGAGTTCTGTTAATCCCACAAACGAACATTACATTTTTATTTATATAGATATTAAAATAATCTTGTATTACATTTTCTAAAAAAACTCAGACTTTCAACCACGTTATGTAGCACACTATTTATTTTGTCTTTTCAAACTTCAATTCAAGTTAATAAAAGGAGTGTCAATGTACTGAGAAAAAAGTTGACAGTGGCCACTACAAATCACCAGATGCTGCAATGTCCTGCAAAACCTTTTACAATCAAAATAAACTTTTTTTTTAAAAAAAATGATGGGAATGTTATCATTCAAAGTACAATTTTTGCTTTTATGTGACATGGAAAAAAAATGAAGGAAGAAGGGAGGAGCTCAAGGGACTCCCAGGTCATGATGAGAAATATGTCTATTGCTGAACAACATTTGACAAAGGAAATTGTCCTTTCTTCAAGAACTTAAATAGGCAGTAAGAAGCATTCTCAGGTGTGTGTGTGGTGTGTGTCTGATGCAGTTTCACACGCATGCATGCTCACTACACAATGACGACAACACTCATGTTAACTTGTGAATGAGATCAGGCTGTTAAGATTACACACCATAAATATAATATTCATATCACTGCATATCATTTCAAACTTAATGGCTAGGAGGTAACTGAGGTCTGTCTTATGTCCCATTAAGACCTAGAAGGCCCATGTGAATTGCAATCAACTTGTCTCACTGCTTTCAATGCAGCTCATTCAAAACGTATTTTAACTAAATTACGGCTTTTAAGGGGGTCACATCAAACCCTCTGTAATGTCATTAGGCATTATGTAATCCAGCATCTTCCCCTTTGATTGGCTCATTCATCCTGCTCTATCCATACTGCTTGCTTGTACTGCAAGAGTGGTATGGATTTCTACCATGCCCCAATAGTTCTAATTTTCTCGAAACTTTCCCTTGAACTTTGTGTCGTATGTTGAACTATCCAGCTGGGAACTCTCAATGCTTTGATGCAGACATGTTTAGTTCATACTCTTCCTTTCAGAATGAAATCCTCTTCCATCTGCTTGGGTCCAACATGTATCTTTGAAAATCATGGGAGTTGAGTGAATTACTTTCTAAACTAGGAACTATGCCATCAGTTAGTTGCATTTGGTTCCATTTACTGATTAGTGCTTCAGTGCAGGGCTTAACAATTCTGGAAAGGTAACATATAATTCAGACCTAGGTGGCAGGTGGGAAAAGAACCATCGTGACCAATCTTTGAAGCAAGTGTGCCATTAGCTCAGTGTTTACTACAAAACATGCAGGACCTCAGTATTTTGCCTCTAGTCCACTGAACCTGGGAAGAGGAGCCATCTAGCTATGGAACAGCTGTGATGTATCACCCTCAAATTCATCTATCCTGCTTGTGTCCCACATGGCACCTATGCTTATGTTTGGTCTATGATGGAACTATTTGTTGTTTTACTTGGCTTGCAGTTGTAGCCAACAGAGAAAACTGTTCTCAATAATTAAGATTCTCTGGCTATCACCATTATCCACACCATGGTTATCTTCCCCCTCTCACGTTCCTCTAAATTTGAGGGGCATACTCTTTTATCTGAATTTCCACTGTTGCAGATGACCCTCTCAAGTCACCCACATAAAAGATGTGTTGTTGAATTCCAAGGCTTCATTCCTAAGCTCAAACTAGGATGTTTATCTAGAATTCTTCAAACAATGCTTTGCCTGCTGACGTCCACATTGTACCCAGATGAACTGGAGCAGCTCTGGCCAAAATCAATGAAAATCCCATCTGAATCTGACTCAATAGACTCCAAGATCTGGTCCACAATAGTCTCAGGGCTGGCAGTTGGGGCTATGGCAATCAAATCTGAGTCCCTGGCCAGCTCATATGCTCTGCTTTGGTCATCTCTTGGGTAGAAGAGTCCCTTTTGTTGCTCTATAGCATTGAGGTGGTTTGAGCACTGGGCAGAGCCTGCAGAAAGGCGCTCTGACTCTCCTGACTGTGAGTTCTTCATGGTGACCATGGAGCTCTTGGAACCATTGTCCGTGATGGTGGTGAGATTGGAGTAGCTCTGTGCTTCTGTGCAGGAAGTCATTTCAGACACAGAGTGCCTTCGAATGCCCGTGCCATTGGAAGGGACTCCTTCTGTTTCATACTCAGCTACTGGGGTCAGCAAAGGATTGTTGTAACTTTTGGATCTTACCACAGGGTTCTTTGCAATAATGTCCCCGGATTTAGAACGCCGAAAATAACGCTTCTCTGTGAATAAATAGAGAGAACATTTAAAAGTTTCATACACATTACAAGATCAGAGAGGCTATAGTCAAATAATAAAAGCAGACAGTGCCTGAAGACAGTTCACCTCTCTGTCCACTACAGAATTTTCTACTATAATTTGTTGACTTTCAGCATATCAATTCATTCTTATCTTTCTTGAAACAACTTATATAGGACTCACAATGGACTTACAAAAACTGGTTATCATTCATATTCTTTTGGCTTCAAGAATAGGAAAGGATTAGCAGGATTTTTTTCAGAATGGCCATTAGGTGGCATCAGTTTAATGTGGTTACTTGCAATAGAGCAAACACCTTCGCTTCTCTCTTGGAGATGAAATCATTTCCAAAAAAGAGTGACTTTCTAACATAGTGGACCCCTTTAAATAACATGGCTGACCATGCTCATCAATTCTTTTTTCTAGATATTCTGAAAATACAAAGACTTACAAAAGTAGCTACCTCTAGACTTTGATTCCTGGAGAAACAGTGAAAGATGGAGAACAGGGAAAGGGGACACTGTCACAAGAAATTCAATGTGCAGATTTGACAAATATGAATTTAATATGATGTGTGGAATGAATGGAAGGATGTGTGAATGGAGCTAATAATTTTGGAAACACCTGTATAATATTAAGGCCTGCAATGACTAACTACCTGCTGCTGGACTTGCTAATGAGAAACCCTGATAAGGACTGTGACAGTGATAAAGAAAATGTTTGCAACCTTCCTTATGTTAAGAAGGAAGTCAACACAAGCCTTGTGTTTGTCAACACCAATCAAGAAGAGTCAACATCTGGCCATGGGATGGATACAGGATGGAAGACGTCTATCATTAATTTACAACTTTGGGACTACATCAACAGAATATTCCTATAAAAGACTCAGTCTAATAATGCTCAAATTGTGACCAACCTGAGGAGTCTGGTTCACCCGCCATACTCTGCTCCATGGGAAGGAGAGAGATGGTGTATTCGGAGAGTGGCAGATCTGCACGGGAGCAGTCTGATCACTTTGGGCCTTCTTTCTCAAGGGAAGAGGAAGAAGTGCGCTTTTGGAGTCTTGGATTTTGTGCAGGGAGTCAGGTTCTGCTGTATGGAAAATAGAGATCTGGTCCTTGGCATTGTTCTTAGGGAAAGAAGTTTTGGCATCTCAGTGTTTTGAAGTTGGTGTTATGGAGTTATGGAACTATGCGTTGGCAAGCTGCAGGAAAGCAGGGTCTGGCCTAACAGGTGCTTCTCCAAGGAGGGAGAAAATGATATGGTAACATTTGAATGCCTGAGGATGAATGTGGGGTGAATGTGGAGTGAAAATGTAATTCCCCTTTGTTTGTTAGTTAACCAATGTAATTGTGAATCCAATGTAGTTGCATAGAAACTGTATGTCCAATGTCATTCTTTGTCTAAATATTTTTCTGTAATCTGATATACCCTCTCACACTGGAAATTGCAATAAAAAGAACCTATGCTTCAAAGTTATTGAAAAGTCATTCATGGCAACACCAGCAACACTCCTAGTGTGACTTGCACTATGGTCCATTTGGATGTCAGCCCAATTATTTAAACAGAGTATCTGCAGAATCTATTTAACTCCAGCTCTTCACAGTAGTATATCTGGATTGTGTAGGTGCTGCAGTCTGTATCCTTAATATGCAAGCAGGAAAAAACAGTGACAGAACTGAATCCAATAATGGTGTCTGAGATCTACTGATATTAAATGCAGTTTGTCATGACAGTATTTAGTCTGCTATTTTCACTAGAAACTATGGGGGAAACAAACAGGTAGCTAATTAATCTCACTGGCTAAGGCTTCAAATATGAATTGTACGCTTACCATAGATAAGCCTTAGAGTAGTGGTTCTCAATCTGTGGGTCCCCAGATGTTTTGGCCTTCAACTCCCAGAAGTCCTAATGGCTTGTAAACTTGTTGGGATTTCTGGGGGTTGTAGGCCAAAACATCTGGGGGCCCACAGGTTGAGACCCACTGCCTAAGAGTTTACCAGAAAATGAGTAATATCAGCTGATGTACTTTGCTCCCCTCCCCTAACTATATACCTTCACTAGCCAAGGGGAATCTTCTAGATAAGATGGATGTGGGTTATCAAAGACACACTTTCATCTGGGAAAAGCTCATGTCTGCAAATGAAATGTATGATCTTAGAAGTTTGTATTTATGTTACCTAAAATGCACGAAGAGTGTGGGATAGTCCCATCACTGGAGTATAAACCATATGTACCCAAATAAGGTGAAACAACCTTCTGTAACAGAACCTCCAATTTTAAATAGTCTTCAGTTACGCCTTTTGATTCATGAACCCCCTGAAAAAAATGGAAAAACACATTCCCATATTACAAAAGAAAACAGAGTAATATTTCATCAATATAAAGTATTTTCCAGGGTGGAAGGCCCTACTGCTGCCTTCTTGGTCTGAATTCACAGAGGATTGCATTACAGCAAAGCATTGTCAACTTTGCTGTAATGCTGCCAAAGTTTGGTGGTGTGGTCAGAGCAAAGCAACAATAGACAACGACAATACAGGATTTCCTTTGATAAAGCAATGTGCAGGGAACATATGCCTTGATTTCAACAAGAACTGTGAAAATTAGAAGGCTTAAGACAATGCAATTATGCTTTCAAAGAACATGCAAGAATCTATACCATTATGTTTTCTGAGTATTTTAAGAGTTCACAATAACAAATTAAGTGGCTGCTTACAACAGTGGAAAACAAAACAAGTATTCTTCAATTGTTGGTCAGTTTTAAGTGTTGGCAGAACATGACATGAACTACAATCACTGTGTCCATGGACTAGTATCTTATTTCATTTATCTGCTCCTGAGCAAATATGTCCTTTCTAGGCATTTTCTAGTTCCTCCAGTGCAAATATCAGAGTTTACACCAGGGGTCCTCAAACTAAGGCCTAAGGGCTGGATTCGGCCCTCAAAGGTCATTTACCTGGCCCTTGCTCAGGGTCAACCTAAGTCTGAAACAACTTGAAAGCGCACCACAACAACAACAACAACAACAACAATTCTATCTCATCAGCCAAAAACAGTTCTACACTTCCCATTGTAATACTAATAAGTTGATATTTGTTAAAATTATTCTTCATTTTAATTATTGTATTATTTTAAAGTGTTTTTTGCACTACAAATAAGATATGTGCAGTGTGCATAGGAATTCATTCATGCTTTTTTCAAATTATAATCCGGCCCTTCAACAGTTTGAGGGACTGTGACCTGGCCCCCTGTTTAAAAAGTTTGAGGACCCCTGGTTTACACTAAACACACAGGATATGTTTGACTACTGTATTAGAAAAAGTGATTCCAGATTGGGGCTACTTCACACAAAACAAACACTTACTGCCAAGCACACAGGAATCACTACCTTCTCCAGTTTTATCCAGCAGCCTTGCAACTAAGACATGCACCATCTCTACTGAACAGGATATAGCAACCAGTCCCATAGGCCTCAAGTAAGACAGCTCATACAAATACTGCATTGTTCCCATGGTCCATTAGATGTCACTGTAGTGGAAGGCTTGTGTCATGGAAGTGATTTGGAGGATTCACTCCAATTTTTATTTAGCAGAAAATTTCACTGATTGCTAAATCACATTACACCTGATGATGTGGGCTGCAGGCCCCAAAAGCTTATGCCAAATATAATTTTTTAGTTTTTAAAATCCTCTTGTTGTATTAGCCAAGAAATCTTATTTACCGTCAAAACCAGCCACAGCAAAATTGTCTGTTCCTGAATTTACCAACATATTAAGCAAATTATTGGCTGGGGTAGGAAAATTTGTTAAACTTGCCTTTTGTTTGTCTTGCCATATATCTAATAAAAGAAGTACAGTAACAATTTTTATGAACCTATTTGCTAGGCCTGGGTAACAATGGAAAAATTTGTTTCTAAAATCGATTTGTATTTGGGGGGTTTTTTTGTTTCGATATTTAAAATAATTACAAAATTTTCCTTTTAAAAAGTTCGATATTTACGAAATTTCGTAAATGGTAAAAAATTAACGAATCGATTTCCGAAACAATAACGAATCGATTCATTAATGGCGGACGCGACCGCGAAATACGCTAAAAAACCTCCAAAACCTTCTGAAGCTTCCCTCTCCCTCTGTTGTTGACTGTTGGTGTGATATTATAATTTTTTTTCACTAATTAAACCATAAAACTGGCCCAGACATGCGGAAAAAATAACGAAACGACCTCAAAACAATAACGAAACGAATACAATATCAAAATACGAAGCATTTACAAAACGTTTTTGAAAATTCGTTTTTTTTAATAATTGCTCCAGAATGGTTTGTTATCGTTTTGTAATTGAAAAAATTAACGAATTATTAACGAATTACAAATTAACGAAACGAAACCGCCCAGCCCTACTATTTGCAACAATACTTTAGTTGTGAAGGGAGAAGTGCGACCTGAATTCTGAGTCTGACTGATGGGAAAGAGCAGGGGAGCTGCAATCTCAAAGACAATAATAAATACAACAACCAGAGAGTTGTATGGGACTCTCATGTTTCAGAAATACACAATTAACTCCATATAGCTTTAGAGATGCCTGCAGGGGCTGTTTTAAAGATGAGAGCTTATAAAAATCTAAGCAATTTTTTTTCCTCTTTGATGTTTTATTGATTATTTTGCAATGTGACAACAGACTCGGAGGTGATAAAGAGCCATAGCAAGAACTTTAAATGTGCAATGAAAGCACTGACACAGTGTTTACAGTCTTTCAGAACTAATGTTACACTTTTACTGAAGCCCCATTACAAAGAAAAAAGAGGCGTACACAGCACGGCTGTGGCATGGAGGAATTATGTCTGCTAGATATAGTAGGCATAGATCTTCTAAGAATTGTCACAGTCTATCCAATAAGCACCTAGCCACAAGTTCTCTTCAGTGTTAAGGAAGATGCCAACTCAATTGCCCCAGAGTTCTCAGTTGGTGGATGTGGCTACTTGTTATGCTCCAGCTGCTCAGCTAAACAATTAACCACAAAAATAGGTACATGCTTTGTCAGGTCCAAGGTGAGAGAAAGGGGTGGTTTCAGAGCCCATTTTGTATTTATTACTAGCCGTCCCCTGCCACGCATTGCTGTGGCCCATATGGGGGTTTTGCGTGGAAGGTTTGGCCCAATTCTGTCATGGGTGGGGTTCAGAATGCTCTGTGATTGTAGGTGAACTATAAATCCCAGCAACTACAATTCCCAAATGTCAAGATTCTATTTTCTCCAAACTCCACCAGTGTTCAATTTTGGGCATATTGAGTATTTGTGTAGAGTTTGGTAAAGATCCATCATTGTTTGAGTCCACAGTGATATCTGGATGTAGGTGAACTACAACTCCCAAACTCAACGTCAATGCCCACCAAACTCTTGTAGTGTTTTCTGTTGATCATGGGAGTTCTGTGTCCCAAGCTTGGTTCAATTCCATCATTGGTGGAGTTCAGAATGTTCTTTGATTGTAGGTGAACTATAAATCCCAGCAACTACAACTCCCAAATGACAAAATCAATTTTTTTGAGTGAAGGACATACATTGGCCTGATAGGTGTCTTGTGTCCAAATTTGGTGTCAATTCGTCCAGTAGTTTTTGAGTTCTGTGAATACCACAAATGAACATTACATTTTTATTTATATAGATTTATTTCATATGCTTGTACCCTGCCCTTCTCACCCTCGAGGGGGGACTCAGGACGGCCTCACAGCCAACACTATTGGGTGCCATCATAATGATAAGGACAATCAACAAATTAATTAAAACAAAACATTAAATAAACAGTTGTTAATTCACGCCAATTAAAATCTGGGTCTGGGTCAATTCATTGTCACTTCGAAATTGCTTATGTCTTCTTCATAGAAGCCGCTATTCAATGGTCAAATGGAAGTTCTCACAGCCAAGTCTTGAGTTTCCGTCTAAAGGACAGGAGGGAAGTGGCCAATCTGATGCCTCTGGGGAGGGAATTCCACAGACGGGAAGCCACTGTTGAGAAGGCCCTGTCTCTTGTCTCTATCAATTGCGCTTGCGACAGCGGTGGGATTGAGAGCAAGGCCTCTCCAGATGATCTTAAACTTCATGATGATTCGTAGTAGGAGACATGCTTGGACATATATACTCCTTGCCCATTATTATTTTACTCATGTAAACTACCAGAGCAATAATTAAACTTTAGTTCAAAGCACATTCTCTCTAGCAGCATTTTCAGACAGGAATTAACTTTCTTTGATCTGATCCATTTATCACAGCAGATAACAGATTCAATATATGTGAAATTTAATCAACAGGAACCTGCATGTTTTTATCTGAGAGAGCCTAATACTTTAAACAAGAAATGTAACTAAGTGTTGTGACTCAGCTAGAACCATAGACACAGACTGATAGTGTTGTGACTCAGATGGGGTCTCAGAGTGACTCTGACGAGCATGATGGGTTTACAATCAGGTTCAAAATGTTCCTGTTGTAGATAATGAGGAACAGGGTATACAAGTTCAGTTTCCCATATCAGAGAATGATGTTGTTGATACTGAAACTAGCCAGGTGCAAATTGACTCAGAAAAGGAGGACAGTTCAGCCTGATAGTAGGCAGGAAGGCAACCAGGCTGACACTAACAAGCAACCTGACCTTGATGAAACGGGAATCTTAGATCGGGCTGACCATTTGGAATTCAGTGTTCGAAGGAGTGTGAGAATAGCCAACAAGAAAGAGGTCAGAGGCCAAAGAAATGCTTTCATGTATTGCAAATGGTATTAAGCAGTGTGTTTGAAAACAAACCTTTATCAGAGGAACTTCTCGCTCAACCAAGCAGCTTGTGCTCATTTCCTGTGTCTATGGTCTTGGGATTTTGTCATGTTTTCATGAGATTTTGTTTCGTTGGTGCCATTTGGAATTCTGCTTTACAGTGCTATATTTTATTGATCTTTGGAACATTATTTGCTTTTTAAACTTTTCATCTTTACTTTTTAATAAACTACAAAAACTTGTGTGCAGTTCTGGTGATTTCAGCAAGGTGAATCTATTCTGAGGTGCAACACTAAGGAATGCAATTAATAGTCGTAAATCAAGGAGGGAGCTTCCAACTATGTGATAAAACAAAGTAGTCCAGGACCAGAAGTTGCCTCTGTGACCCTTTTGTTTCAGAGAATGGAGATGTAATAGCTTAGGAATAGGATTTTTTTAATACACTAGCAAGGGTCTATTTCTTACTTTCATTACACTTCAAACTCCCTTGTGCTTCTTCCACACCATGTTCTGTGATCCAGTGCTATATTCTTTTTGGAAAATGGAGCAGCATATTGGTTGCAT